CTGTACTCACAGAACTGTCTCCCTTCTTGGGGGCCGACGGCTTCCTGGGGAAGAGGATGAGCTTGGAGCGGTACTCCTTCAGCCGCTGCACGTTGGCCTGCAGGGACTCGGTGGACTTGTTCCGCCGCCGCGGATCCACCGAGATCCCAATGGTCCGGGCCACCTTTTTGTGGATGCCGGCCACCTGCCCGCGGAGAAGACACAGATGAAGTCCCAAGAAGTCTCTCACCTCCCCACCCTAATGGAAGGGCTCAGTCGTCAGATGGAAAAGGGTTCAAGTGTACTTTCATCAAGGCAGTACAGCGATTCCGGAGAATGTCATCATGTGACTGTGAGCCCAGGCGGCAAACCTTATTCGTCTCTAATAATGCGTTTTTTTCGGATACTCACCCGCAACTCTTCCAAGCTGAAGCCCCTGCCGGCTCGCACTTTGGTGTGGTACCTCACGGTGGGGCACCTCACGATGGGTCGGATGGGTCCGGAGGCAGGGCGCGGGGCGATGCGGCGCGCTTTGGCTTGCCGGGCCTTGCGTCTGAGCAGACAGAAGCCAGGCGGCAGTTACCCCACCCGAAGGCCGATCTTCCCACTCGGGCGTCTGCTATCCCGCACCACAGCGGGGACGCGGGAACGCAGACCACGCCGCCCACCTGCGACCACAAGTCGCCCTCAATCACATCATTACAACGTCGGCTCTAACGTGGAACTGCAGGAGCCGCGCGGTTAGCACATGGTTAAAGGGTTCGAGTGCACTTGCACACTAAGGGGTACAGCGATACCAGACACTGTCGTCACTTGGCTGTGCGCTCCTCACCTGCGGATCTTCCGCGCCGGCTGGTTAAACCACGTGGCAACGCGCCGCTGCCAGTCCTTGTGGAAGTGGGGCTTTAGGATCATGCCATTTCGGCTGGGCGCCATGGCTGCTGCCTACGGGCCTACGGAGAAAAGCGAGTCAGGGCCCGAGCTCCGGGCGGACGGCGCGCCCACAGAACCGGGCTACAGCCCGACGCCGTCTGTGGCGTGGCCCTACGCCGATGACGGCGGATGGAGCCCGATGGCCACCGATGGCCTCCACCAGCAGTGGCTTTTCACGTACCCACCTTCTCCGAAGGAGAACGGCCGGCGGAAAGGAAGTGGAGCCGCAAAGAACCCTGGGATGGCAGTGGGCCCGGCCAATCAGAAGCGATGGCGCGTTCTAACCAATCAGAGCCGGGAATGCGGAAGTGATGTCAGCACACTCCCAGTCGCCCTCGCGGCCCCTGGAGGGTCTGGGCGCATAACCCAAGTCGGAAGACTGCGACGGCTGCGTGCGTTCTGCGAACTCCTGGCAGCACCGAGCCTTTCCAGCTTCCACCCTTACGGGACTCGCTACGTTTCCCCAACACCTAAGGCGGTTGCTGTAAGCGGAGAAGCCACTATTTCACATGCATTTAATCGTACAACTTCCTCTGTTCCGCGGAAGGATCGGGTAACTTCTCTGAAATAGGGCAGCAGGTGGTGGCACCAGGAATCCACCTGGCCGACTGCCTCCTTCACAGAGACAAACATCATCAAAAACATTAGGAAGCCAGGCCTACGTCTGTATCCTGTGCCCTGCGCGTCTCCTGTTCTCCAGGAGAGGAATGGGAACTCAACACTCTACTGCTACCTATAGGCCTTGACATCCCAGTAACCCTCTTTCCCACCTCACCCCAATTACCAGTCTTCCTCCTAGCAAAACCTAATATTTTAAGAATATCATGACACAGAAAGGAGAAACTTGGAGGCCTGTGCCCTGCACTGAGTAAACAGGTTACTGATAAAGTTTTCTTCTCTATTGGGATATCCTCGGGTGTTAGAAAAATCAGGTTTGGGACTCACTGAGAAATTACAACGTTATGATCAGGAAGACAGAACATGTGTAACAGATGAGGCACAATCTATTCAGACAAATACAGAGCCTACATGGGAAGTTCAAACCCAGACTGTGCCATTTAATAGATACGTGTTCAATATGAATAAGGGCAATAGCCGTGTTTAAAATTTATCAGGCCCCTTTCAGTGAGCTCACCATGGACCAAGATACCTTGCTTTGTAATCTCAAATATTCCTATCTCCATCCAAGACTCATGCAGTCATCTGCCCTAACCCTCACCTCCACCTGAGCGCAGCTGCGCCTGGTTATGAAGCTGTCAGGGTCACTGGATGGGGGCTAGAGGTCTGAAGTTGCAAACTGTTCAGAATACAGTGTGGTTTAATAAGGTGAAGTTATCATTTGAGGACCTTAGTCTACTGCACATAACCAAGTTAAACATATCCAATTTTTCTTTATTAATTTTTAAATATTTTTTTATTGATTTCAGAGAGGAAGGGAGAGGGAGAGAGACAGAACATCAATGATGGGAATCATTCATTGGCTGCCTCCTGCATGCCTCCAACTGGGGATCAAGCCCACAACCTCAGCATGTGCCCTGACCCGGGAATTTAACTGTGACTTACTGTTTCATAGGGTAAGCACTGAGCTACACCAGCTGGGCTAGAATCCAATTTTCCACACTTGAATACTCGAAAAGTATGCAAAATCGAGCCAAAAAAAGTTCTGATAGGAAAGTTCTGCTGAAAACATGCTCAGCTTTCCCATTGGGAAAGGTTAAAGAAGTGAACTGTCATGCAGGAATCCTTCTGATACAAAGACTTAGCTGGCTCAAGGGTTTTACCTTTAACTGTAGTGACAGCCCATCCCTTGGCATAGCCTGTGGACAAAAAAGGGCTAATGCCCCTGGAAGCAGCATTCAACTAAGGCAGTGGTCCTCAACCTTCCTAATGCCGCGACCCTTTAATACAGTTCCTCATGTTGTGGTGACCCCCAACCATAAAATTATTTTCGTTGCTACTTCATAACTGTAATTTTGCTACTGTTATGAATCGTAATGTAAATATCTGATATGCAGGATGTATTTTCATTGTTACAAATTGAACATAATTAAAGCATAGTGATTAATCACAAAAACAATATGTAATTATATGTGTGTTTTCCGATGGTCTTAGGCGACCCCTGTGAAAGGGTCGTTCGACCCCCAAAGGGGTCGCGATCCACAGGTTGAGAACCGCTGAACTAAGGGGGCCAAAGATTCCTGGATATGACACCCTTGGAGGTGTCAGAGTATACTCTGCACACCCACTATTTCCTTGCAAGACTGAGCCCCAGTTACTCATGGCAGTGCCTGCTCATTGCATACCTGCACCTGACTGGCCTCCTCCATCTGGTGCTTTGAGGGTCAGCCTCAAAGAAATCTAATCTAAGACAGTCAACAAGAGCTTCTGTAACCCTTTCAGACACAGTCTTGGTTTATTTTTAAAATTTGTATCATAGCCCTAGCTGGTTTGGCTCAGTGGATAGAGCGTCAGCCTGTGGACTGAAGGGTCCTGGGTTCGATTCCGGCCAAGGGCACATGCCCAGGTTGGGGGCTTGATCCCCAGTAGAGGGTGTGGAGGCAGCTGATCCATGAATCTCTCTCATTGTTGATGTTTCTATCTCTCTCTCTCCCTCCCCCTTCCTCTCTGAAATCAATAAAAGTTTAAATCTATTTTTATTGATTAAATATATTTGTATTGTATAATGTTACACTGCTTCATCACAGAACTCATCACCATCCATTCTATCAACTTTCCAAAATCATGGCCTGCACATAAATCAGGCATGTGTTTAGCATAGAGGCTAACTCAAAGGTTCCTGTAATATGAGAAAACACTAACTTCAGTGAAAGACAACTGGAAGTATATTATCATAATCATAAATGTTTTGTTTGAAAGTTGCTGAGAGTCAACCTTAAAAGTTCTCATCACAAGAGAAAAGATTCTGTAACTGTGTTGATGTTGACTTACTGTGCCAATCATTTTGCAATATATACAAATATTGAATCATTACATTGTACACCTAAGACTGATGTAGGTCAATTACACCTCAAAAAAAATAAAATTCTTATAAAACAAAAAACCACATTTATTTATGAGTCTAGATCAGAGTGAAGAATAATTTGTATTGATTTAAGAACTACAAGTTATTATTTTTCTTATTTAATGATTTTCTGAGGCTCTAATTGTGTATGTTTATTTAGGGAACATGTGTTTATCTCAATGAGGAGATAAACACATGCCTAACTTAGACAAAAAGAGTTCCAGAATGAGGAAATAAACACATGCCTAACTTAGACAAAGAGTTCCAGAATTAGGAGATAAACACATGCCTAACTTAGAGTTCCAGAAGTTATAATCAGGCCAGGATATACTGCCTCTGCTGGGCAGAGGGCAGAGGGTCAGGGTTTCATTCCCAGCATCAAGCACACAGGTTGCCTGGTTTGGTCTGACTGCTCTAGGGACCACGTACTGTTGAAGCCTCTTCACCTTTAGGATCCTCTTTTTAATGAGAGAATCATTGAACCACTAGCCCCTACATACCCCTCACCCAAGATTGAGCCAAAAACCCGGGCATGTGTCCTGACTGGGAATTGAACCATGACCACCTGGTTCATAGGTCAACACTCAACCACTGAGCAACAAGGTCTGGGCTAGGATCCTCTTTAAAGGAGGTGTGAGCCCTGGCTGGTGCTCTCAGTGGTTAGAGTGTCATCTCACACAATGAAGGGTCTCAGGTTTGATTCCTAGTCAAGGGTACGTACCTGGGTTGCAGGTTGATCCCCAGCCCTGGTTGGGACTCATTTGAAAGGTAACCAATTGATGTTTTTCTCTCTCTCCCTAACCCTCTTGCCCCACTTCCACTCTCTCTCAAAATCAATGGAAAAAAATATCCTGGGGTGAGAATTAACAAAAAAGAAATAAAATAAAAGGAGGTATGAACATCATCCGAGTGAGATAGCAGAGGTTTAATTCTTGGCACTCTTCTCAATTGCCATTTCTCATGATAGGGAGGTAACATAATTTGACCAGAGGGCCAGTCTTCGAACAACTATTAATCATAGCACAAAGCACCCTCTGCCCTCTGGCCAAGGGGCCATGAACCCATTCATATCAGCAAGTGCTGGGAAGCCAGCTGCACCTGCCCCCTCTTATAGCAAGGCAGCCCATTCATGCCATTTATATCCTATTTATCGCTAAGCATCTTCTTTGCTCAGCAAATGACTTTCCGAAGGATATACAGGCATAGGCCATTTTAATGGATAAAATACAAGGGATGAGCTTGTCCATATCCACCTTATAGGTAACAAAGAATACTGCCTTCAGGCAAAGATACCAGACTAATGCAGATCTTTGGAAATGAATTTGGGAAACGGGCAAAGGCAAGTGTCACCCTAGCTGGTTTGACTCAGTGGATAGAGTGTTGGCCTGTGGACTGAAGGGTCCTGGGTTTGATTTTGGTCAAGGGCACATGCCTGGGTTGTGGGCTCGGTCCCCAGTGGGGGGGCGTGCAAGGGGTAGCCAATCAATGATTCTCTCATCATTGATGTTTCTATCTTTCCCTTCTCTGAAATCAATAAAAAATATGTATATTAAAAAAAACAAAAGTTAAAAAAAAAAAGCTTGTGTTCGCCCTCATGTGTAATCACACCTATATTTGCCCACCTATAGCTCAGCGGGCATTTCCTCGGCGCTGTGTGGGAACAGCAACAGAACAACCATCTGTCAGGAAGTACCCATAATTGGGGAAGTGATAAGAGTAGCAAGTAGGAGCGCCTGAGTGCATGTTGCACACCTCCAGGGAGACGGGAGCTGAGTGCCCTTGTCTGTCTTGCAGTGGTGAGGTGTCCTTGGCCCCTTACCCCAGATTCCTACAAAAGGGGCTCTTCAATTGCTGAAATTATAACTTGTAAACACACACTATCCTGTGTTCCAGGACAAACCCAACAGCCCCTCTGGGTTAGAGCTGACCACATGGTACAAAGTTGGGTTCTCTATCATGAAGTATCAACAGTCCTCAGGTATGCCCCACCAGACCAGGGAGGAGAGGTCCTTGTATGCATCAGTCAGCAAGGCAGTAGGTGGCAGTGTTTTAATCCTTTAGAGCCTGGTGCCTGTCCCCTATTCTGTACGCCCATTGAGTGCGGATGAGGACATTGGCTCAGAGTGTCGCTTTCATCGCGGATCCTGTTAGCATGCTGACAAAGTCGCAGGAGCTGGAAGAGCCCCTGCACAAGCCCAGCATGAGCCTGACTGCTGGGTCATAAACCTGGGAGCTCCTCCATATGCACCTGTAACAAGCACTGACAATCCTCCCC